GCTACTGGTGCTGGAGCTGCTGGTACTAGAGGTGCTCGTACTAGAGGTGCTGGAGCTGCCGGAGCTGGTGGTACTACTAGTGCTGGAGGTGCTACTGGAGCTGCTGGCACTAGAGGTGCTGGTGCTGCTGGTGCTGGAGGCGCTGGAGCTGGAGGTACTGGAGGTGCTGGAGCTGCTGGTCCTAGAGGTGCTCGTACTAGAGGTGCTAGAGCTGCCAGAGCTGGTGGTGCTACTGATGCTGGAGGTGCTGGAGGTGCTGCTGGAGGTGCTACTGGAGCTGTTGGCACTGGAGGTGCTGGTGCTGCTGGTGCTGGAGGTGCTGCTGGTACTAGAGGCGCTGAAGCTAGAGGTACTGGAGGTACTGGAGCTGCTGACGGTACGGGTACTGCGCCGCGTCGACCGTTTTTCTACCCGCTGCCGCAATCGTCCCTTCCACCGCCTGACTCAGCCCTTTGCCAGGTTCTTAGTCTCCCGTCTTCCACTGGCCTCACTCCACCTCTCATGTGTCCACCGACAAACCAATCTCAGCCACAACTACTGCTTGGCTCCCCACTACCTGCTCCTACTCCTCACACTGAGGTGACTGAGTCCCAGACCGAGCGTCGTGAGCCTGAGACTCGTTCTTCCAGACCTGTTCGTGCTCGTCGTGACGCTCGTCCTCATCCTCGTGCTGTCCCAGGCACTCACGGTATGGCACTTCGTCCTTCCTCTGTTCCACAGTGTGTTATCCTGCCTGAGCCTCCCGTGTCCTCTCTTCCGCACGTTCCGGACTCTAAGTCTGACCTTGCTCATGCTGCCAGTCCTACTGTGACTCATCTCCTCATTACTGTAGTCACTGACCCTGACTTTGACTCTACTGCTGCGTTTGCCCTAGTCACTGAGCTAGTCGACTTTCCAGCTAGGAGTCGTCTCGACTACGTCGCGTGTCTTGTTACTGAGTCTGGGTCTGTATGTCCTTCGTCCGTCGGGGGTGAGCCTGCCCTTGGCAATGACATCCTTGAGGACAGGCAGTTTGAGCTTGAGTCTCTTGCGGACGTTTTACCTCATTTCACATCTATGCTACTTTGCCCTGAGGGAGACCCAGATGCACTATACATCCTGACCCCACGCTCTTACGCTGAGACGATCGCGGGTGAGTACTCCTCTTGGTGGCAGACAGCCATGGACGCAGAGATGACTTCTTGGAAGTCCACAGGCACCTACGTCGACGAGGTTCCTCCTCCTGGGGTGAACATAGTCGATGGCATGTGGATTTTCAGAGTGAAGCGGCCACCGGGTTCTCCGCCTGCCTTCAAGGCGCGTTACATTGCTCGAGGCTTCAATCAGCGACAAGGGGTCAACTACTTCCAAACCTTCTCCCCCACCCGCGCAACCCATGACTGCTCTGTGGGTGTTGCTGCACGTTGCAGCACAGCGCGACTACGAGCTGCACTCCCTCGACTTCTTCACAGCTTTCTTGCAGGGCAGCCTTTACGAGGAGATCTGGTTGCGCCGCCCACCTGGCTTCATTGGGTCGTTTACTACTGGTACCCACTGGAGCCTCCGGCGACCAGTCTACGGTCTCCGCCAGACGCCCCGCGAGTGGCACGACACACTGAGGACTATACTTGCGGCTCTTGGGTTTGTTCCTTCCTTTGCTGACCCGTCGCTGTTTCTACGCACCAACACTACCCTGCCGCCGTTCTACGTTTTCGTGTACGTTGACGACTTGGTTTTTGCTACTGCTGACACTGAGGCACTGGCCCTAGTGAAGGCGGAGCTGCAGGAGAGACACACCTGCACTAGCCTGGGTGAGCTACATAGCTATCTTGGCTGGCAGATCACCCGGGACAGAGCACGGCGCACCATCACCCTGACTCAGTCAAACATGGTGTACCAGGTCCTTCAGCACTTCAGCTTCCAGTACTCCTCTCCACAGTCCACTCCTCTGCCTACTGGCCACTCGCTCTCAGCTCCACCTTCGGACGAGTCCGTAGAGCCGAGTGGTCCGCATCCAGAGCTTGTGGGCTGCTTCATGTACCTGATGACGTGCACACGACCTGACCTAACGTACCCTCTCAGCCTCTTGGCTCGCTATGTGGCTTCCGGTCGACACCGAAAGGTGCACTGGGATGCTGCGAAGATGGTACTGCATTACTTGTGCAATAAATCACGCATGGGGCTCGTGCTAGGAGGACAGGGTTCAGTGGTACTCACATGACACTCCGACGCTTCTTGGACCGACGACCAGGCGACTCAGCGTTCGTCACAGGGTTACACCTTCAGTCTTGGCTCTCAATCTGTCTCGTGGAGGTCCAGTCGTTCTTCTTCTGTGCTTGGTTCCAGGTATAAGGCCGAGATCTATGCTGGGGCTATGGCTGCATAGGAGCTACGCTGGCTGACCTACCTGCTGACCGACTTAGGGGAGCGGCCTCGTTCTCCTCCAGTTCTGTACGTCGACAACAAGGCAATGCTTGCCTTGTGTCGCGAGCAGAGACTGGAGCACAGAACGAAGCACATTGCTCCAAGCCCTGAGATTCAGTTTGAGGGACGTAGAGGGATCAGGGTCCATCTGCGTGGAATCCATGATTAACAGTGTCCCCTAGAAAAAAAACCTGAAAAAATCATTGTCACTTAAAAAAAAAAAACCTGAAGCATCAGTGTTTCCTAAGAAAAAAGGCTGTTTTTACTAAACCACACGGCTGACTGCCTCTTGGTACACCAGGCAGTAACGCGAGGAAATCCCCCGCAAATGGAAAGCATGGAGCAGAATGGGATGGGAGCCTGGATGGCAGGTAGCATGGGTGGGCGGTGTGGATGCATCAGTGCTTGCCAGCACAACTTAGACAAAACGCCCCACAGGACCACAGGTGCAAGCAATGGGCCAGAAACCCTCGCATCGCAGCCTGCCAGCATCGCTGTGTTGCAACCTTATCATTGGTCAACCCATATAATGCCAATGATCTGACCAGGCGCCCTCAAAGTGAAAAAACACGGGGCAAATTTGTTTCGTAGTCACCGCCAGGCAGTGCTGGCACCGCGGGAATCTGAGATTCCCTCCCTGTACTTCCGTGCAACTACACTCAGAACGTGTAGAAATCGCATTCAGTGTCAGTTTCAGTACAACGTAGTGGAATCAGTGTCCTTGGAAAAAAAAACTTGAAAGTTCAGAGTCATCTGGCAGGAAAAGGCTGAAAAATCAGTCCCACAAAAAGCTGAACACTGAAAAATCAGGGTAGGTAAAAAAAAATCCCTAAAAATCAGGAATTTCTGGAAAAAAATCCTGATATCGTAGGGCATGCATTGCTCTTTGATACTTTGTTGCTTGAGAGCTGCCGCAGCGTGGTCAGCTTCGCCTTTCCTACGTGACCTCTCGGGCCAACACTGTTGATGTCTTCACCAAGGCCCTCGGGTCTGGTGACCATCAACGTTTTTGCACTGCTCTTAGGCTTCTGCCCGTTCTACCTTACCTGCTGGTTGCTTGTCTTGTCTTGTACTTTGATCTATAGATATATATCTGCATGCTTTCTCTTGCTAGGTTGTGATCACTATACTGCTTTTGCTTTTATATCTCTGCATGTGAACTGGTCTTGTGGCCGCCTTCTTGTGCTCGGAATGCGTGGTGATCTTGAGATCCACATGGGGCTTTGATTTGTTTGCTTCTCCCGACTAATATTGTAACCACTGTTTAGCTTGGCTATCTTCTACTTCACCTATGGGGGTGTGTCAAAACACTATATGCTTTCTATATTTCTATGCTGTGTAGGGGTTATCCTTACAGGGTACAACACATTTATCGACACTCTTGTACCCCCCCCTCCCCCCCCTTACCTAATGCATCACTATTTCGCTACTTTTAACATTATGGCTATGTTGAAACCCACAAGCGAATAAATATGGCAAAACATCCAGCCGTGTATGCTAAAATTGGGCCTGTTTGCGAGCTTAGTTTATGATTCAAGTTCTGGACTAGGCGACCAAGCGTTATCAGCTTACAATATAAAGATTTGATGTTAACAAGGTTACTTCGTTGAGAAGTTCATCATGAAAAAGAACTGAGTTTCTTCTTAACCGGTGATCAAGCTAGTAATAAGTTAGTTGGAGGAGCCAAACAGCATAAGTACAAGGTCATTATAATTACTCAGATTACATTGTTATATAAGGCAATTCATATCGGCATGTTAACAGATGAGGACGTTCAGGATTGTATACTGCGAATAATTTGTTGCGAGCTCAGCGACGTCACACGATATCTTCGCTGTAGTCGCAGGCCACTCAGTTGTCACCTTCCGGTAACCTCATGCCCCATCAGAATGGCGCGTGCGACCATGAAACAGAACCCAAGCCCGTCGCATGTGCGAGCTTCCCCATTCGTCTACGTCGCACGTCAGGGAAAAGGCCAAGAAGCACTCCCCCAACTGCCATTTTTTCACTCCTTCGCGCCTCACTTGCCTCGATCCGTCAGGGTTTCGTTGGCTCAGCTTGCCTTTTCTCTAGTCCCCCGCTTATGTCCCTCTCCTTCCCCTTTCTTCTCTCGTTTATGTCCCTCTCCTCCCCTCTCCGCTCTGAACAATACTCACAAGCAACATTACCCTCACCACTCTCACACCTGTAGCCAGCAGCAAGATAGGAAGGTCGGTTGTCAGGTTTTCTGATCCGTTCAGGACGGGGAGGAAGCAGGGAGTTCGTGAACTGAGCTTAAGATAGAACGTTAGTCTGCTTCGCTTGCCTCCCTGCTTGGTAGACAGGGACGCAGGAGGAGTCGAAAATGAGTACAGCGAATAAGTTTATCAAATGCGTTACTGTAGGGGATGGTGCGGTCGGTAAAACGTGCATGCTGATCTCCTACACGAGCAACACTTTTCCTACTGTAAGTCAGCCGAGCTGACCGACGTCTAGCGAGCTGTATTGGCTAACATTTAGCATGCGTAAGATTGTTTTCGAAGCCTTAGACATTTTTCTTAGTGGCGTCTCGGCTTGGCGAACATTGAGTCGATTTGTGATGGTTATCGCTGGTGCAGGATTACGTTCCTACCGTCTTTGACAACTTCAGTGCCAATGTGGTGGTGGATGGCCAAACTGTCAACTTGGGACTCTGGGATACAGCAGGTTAGTCACAGTCCCTACAGATTATTAGGCGCTGCGTCCCTAGCGACCGTTAGGCTCTTCTCCGTTTGTGACCATTAAGCACTGCTCTTTTCATTCAGGCACCAGTGGAATTTTCGTTTTTTTTGTTTGTTTGTTTTTTTACGGTTGGTTTCCTACGCACTTGCATCTTGAATGCTTTCGTTTAGTTACTGGTCCGATCTACTGCAACCAGATGTACTCATGACGGTTCGGTAAATTGAATCGCTTCTGTGTTGTTCATACTTGACTTTATCCTCCTTGTTCCCCATGTCATCAGGTCAAGAAGACTATAATAGACTACGCCCTCTGAGCTACAGAGGTGCTGACGTCTTTCTTCTTGCGTTCTCTCTTATCAGCAAAGCCAGTTATGAGAACGTCTCGAAGAAGGTGGGCCTTTTGTGTTCCGCTCAAAAATTGCAACGCAACATGCGAGAGATAGTTTCCAGGTTTATGTTGCATACGTGCCATGCCCCTGTGCTTCGCTGGCGGCCGACAAGCCCATCGGAAAAGGAAGTCGGAGACGTTTGTCTTAGCAATGCGGCCGTGTTTTGTTCATTTTTTGCCGTCGTACACTCACTATATATTCTCGTGAAGCTACTCCACGCCGCCTGCGAACATAGGTTATTGGAAAGATCTATTGCGAAGCGCGAACATAGCCGACCGACATAACCTCATCTCTCCGTTTTCTTCCCTACTGTCTGAATGTTGAGCAGTGGATACCAGAATTGAGGCATTACGCTGCGACTGTTCCGATTGTCCTCGTCGGCACAAAGCTAGGTCAGCTTGTCAAGCTTGCTTTGCTCAGCTGATCTAGGTCTGGTGACATTCGCGTCAGGTTCCTTGGCTGTAGTTGGGCTGGAGAGGCAGGTTGTTCATATATTCTTTGCCTCACTGGCTGACGTCAACCATTTTCCTTCCCTTCCCTAACCACTTTCATGTTATCCGTCGGGTTCAGATTTACGAGATGATTCACAATTTTTCAAAGAGCACCCAGATGCAACGCCGATCAGCACAGCTCAGGTACTGTGATTTTCTTTCGACCATGCGCTGGGATTTGCAGACAGCAATAGCTTCATGTCGTTACGCCTGTTTATCAAGGGCCTATTCCTTATGGTTGTTTATCTGATCTGCGGCTTCAGGGCGAGGAGTTGAAGAAGGTGATTGGTGCAGCAGCTTACATTGAGTGCAGCTCGAAGACGCAGCAGGTTCGTCAAGGCTTGTTTTTTTTTGTCTATGTCTAGTTATTCCTTCAGCCTCGTTTCTTTTTCCCGAGCAGGACGTTTTTCATTGCCATATATTTCTCATGTGTTCCTGTTATTTCTTTGTTGACGTCACTTGGTAGTCTGTTCCCAGCACTTGAAAGGGTTGGTAAGCCTTTCTTTAGCAACCTTCGGTGCTGGATTTAAAAACTATCCGGAGGGCAATCAGATCATGAGCTGCCTTGTGTCGAGCACGCATACACAAGCTTGAATGTGATGGCATTTCTGCTCTTTGCCATGTTATGACCTGTTAACGTACTCATGCAGAATGTGAAGGCTGTCTTTGACACGGCAATCAAGGTGGTGTTGCAGCCACCAAAGGCGACGAAGACGAAGAAGAAGAGCGGGAAGTGTGTTATCAGTTAAGCCACAGGGTACCTTGCAACCATGACCATCCATACCTTCTCTTCAACCTTGTTCACTTATTTCATCAGCCGGTGGCCGAGCGATTTGCTGGCTCAGGTGCGCCGCAGGATGGTGGACTAGATATTCTTATGGCCATTCTGAGTTCTCAAGAGGCATGCAGCTGTAGAGGAAGACATTGTGAGCCGGTTGATAGGATTGACAGTGAAATGGTGAGGGGAAACGGTGGCGGAGTAAGCAGACTGTGTCGTGGGGTTGAGCAGCGAATGAGGGGTGTCAGGTTTTTATTAGTAGGGTTAAAAGGGGTTAGATTTAGGGATTTTACTTTATTTGTTATTATGGGTCAACTGCAGTATGCTTGTGATGGATCCCTGTGGGCAGGCTAGCATTGTTTTAGTCATAAACTGATGGCAAGGCTGGCTGATTTTCACTCTGCCTTGCACTGTATGCTATAACATTCTGTAAGTTTCTAATGAACCGCAGTATAGCCATTACAATGTCTTGAGCACCACAGCCGTCGCTTGGACCAGGCCTCAAGGTTCGGACTGATTGAAGCTCTAGCTTTGGTATGTCCAGGCGATTATTGACTTCCGGAGTATTTTCTTTGGCTGCGGAGGTCCACTGACTAAGGGCGTATCTTTGGTTCCGGTCATGAGCACTGTTCATGCTACTGTTCGGGTCATGCGGAAATTGCTTATGACCCAAAGTGGGCTGCCGAGCCGCGCGCGGCCCCAGCTTTGGGTCAATGTGCAGCAGTTGGGCGACTGACGTGCACGACCCACCCCCAACCAATCACCTGGTTGCACGATACACTTTAGACTGCCATCTTTTGGCGGTCGTCAGTCGAGTGCCACAATTTTGCAATGTACCGTATCTTACACCTCTGCACCCAACCACTCAGCAAATTGACCCTAGTGATCCAAGAATGTGTCTAAAATTTCCCGCGTCGCGCTCCCAACATTTGGGGATTCATGCCGACATTTCTGACGATTGTGTTTTGCGTGGGTGTCGCAACTGAACTTTCGGACTGTTCTGGCATCCCTCCATTGGATGCGACTGTTGTTTGGGGCGTAATTTTGGCGCGAAAATCCCTGCGCCAATTTGGGGGTCGCATGAGTGCCGAGAACCCAAAGTGGTGTTTTGCGTTGTTCCGGGCATCCGCAATTCGCGCATGCCCGGAACAGTGCTCATGACCCGAACCTGGATACGCCCTAAATGGTTTGTCGGTGAAGCTAGCCAGCCGTGGCATTGAAAAGCTTCAGCTTGGAGCTGGCAGGGAGACATCGAGTCGAGGCAGGCATGATAGTTCAGTTTTGGCTCTAACCCCACTCAACCACTCTGAACTTCTGAGTGGAGGATTATCTTTACCTAACCGCATTGTACCGTACTGATCTCTCACGTCACGACACAGCCCTAACACTGTGAATTGCTTTGTAGGTTGGTAGTTCAGTCTGACCGAGTTACTAGATTTCACTCGTCTGTACCCAGCCCTTGTGGATCTGCCTGAATTGTCGATGCGTGTACTCTCACTGTGACGTTTTGTGGAGTTCTCAAGGTTGATGCACTTCTCGTTCCTCCCCTTAGTCGCTTTGCGCGAAAACGATGTAATCTCTCCAGCAAGTAGTCGTCGTTCCCTTAGCCGCTCTCCGACTAATCGACTAACAATAGGAGAGACCTGTTGACTGCAAAGTGCTACCTCGCTAGGCTGATCCACTCTTAATCTCCGGGTCTAAGATTCTGTTTAAGGTTCTGTTATTAGATTTGGCACTGCAATGACATTACTCGACGTGTCGGCGGAAGCCGTACACGCAGCAACCCCTGCGAGTGCACAGGAAGACACTGAGGCCGTTTTGCAAAAGGGTTGCGGCGAGTACGGGTGCGTTGACTATCGCCTATTATCGATTCAGTGTTTTCTTCTTCCTTTTTTTGTGTCCTGTTCCCGGGGTTACGTCCGACCAAATTTAACGGAAACAAGTGTAATTAGATTTTCACAGAGAGGCTGTAAGTGTGCCTTTTTGTTTTCCTTCAGATGTTCACACTACCGGAGAAGATGCAAGATCAAGGCTCCGTGCTGTAACGAGGTGTTCGACTGCCGGCACTGCCATAACGATGCCAAGGTGCCGTCCCTGCTGATACACTGGACAGTTTGCTGTAGTCGATGCTGATCTCCTCAAACGGATATGTCTGATGTCTTGTAACGAAGCGTTTCCGTGGGTGACGTGACGAGTCAGTCTGGTCAGATTTGGCCGTCTTGGCCGGCTGTCAAGTTACTGATCTGATTGAATATTTGCGTTTATGTGTGAGCAGAGTCATTCAGAGGACAAAAGTCGACATGAGATCGCTCGGCACAATATCGAGCGGGTATGCCTGAGCGAGAACTGGAGGAAGTTTCAATCATTCTTGTGTTCCCCAACGTGCCTTTTTTGTTTTTTCTTTCTTTCTTTCTTTCTTTCTTTCTTTCATTCATTCATTCTTTTTTTCTTTCTTTCTTTTTTCCCGGTTCTTCTGTCGTTTTATCCCCATTCGTGGTATGTGCTCATTTGAACCTTCGTGCTGACCGGAGAGCTTTGTCATTCTGCTGTTTGTGCTCGTTTTTCTTGTAGCAGGTAGTTTGCTCCTTGTGTTCGACTGAGCAAAAGGTGAGGTGCACAGATTCTCTCCTATTTCTCACGGACAAATCATGATTTGATTGCACACGGATGAGTTTCATTCAATTTCAGGTCCTCACGATGCAACGTGTTTTGTGCAAGCTTTCTGTTTCTGAAGCATGTGGGAGGAAGTGTGACATTGTGGAAGGAACAGAGAGGTGTCTTTGTTCATCATTTTAAATCTCAAATGCCCTCTTCCTTTGCCATTGTTCACCCTTTTTTCCGCCTTGGTTGGTTTCACAGGTGCAACAAGTATGCGAAGCATGCGGCGTGTGCATGGGACGGTATTTCTGCTTCAAGTGCAAGTTCTATGATGACGAGGTATGTCATGTGATTCACATTAAGTCATGGTATAGATAGCTCAGCTAACTCAAGCTTTCATCTGCACCTGCTTGGTATTTTAGCTAACTTAATAAGTTGGATAAGCTGCGGTTACTGAAGCTCTGATTTTCTTGTGCAGGTTGCAAAGAAGCATTTCCACTGTGACGAGTGCGGCATTTGCAGAGTTGGTGGCAAGGACAAGTTTTTCCATTGCGACAAGTGCGGTAAGTGCAGGTTCAATGTGATATATGCAGCTTCAGTGCGGTGCGTGCTGTGCATGCAGGTTACCTTTCTCACTTTCGCCACCTGCTTACTCTTGGTTTGTTGTTGCCCTAGCTCGCCGTCCCATGCACTGCCAGCCACCATACGCTGCTCTGCCACCATACGCCTATCCGCCACGCAGGTTGCTTGCGATTTTGAGTCTATTAAAATCAGAGGACCATTTGTTGACTCGCTACCCCTTACTCTAACTCGCTACCCGTTGCACTGCCACCCGTCCCTGACATCACACCTGTATCCGTGCAGGCTGCTGCTATGCCACCTCATTGAGAGAGGACCACCGCTGTGTGGAGAAATCCATGCATCACAACTGCCCTGTGTGCTTCGAGGTGAGCTGTTTCCGTTTGAGTTGCTCTGGAGACCCTGGTGCTGCATGACTGTGACATATGCTCTGGCTGACATGCCTTTTGCTGTGCGATTGACAATTTCATTTATTCTCTACTTAACGTGCCCCTGCTGCCTGCCTGCACCCACACCCCTCTGGCAGTTTCTCTTTGAGTCGCTCCGAGAGACCTCGGTGCTGCGGGAGTGTGGGCATACAATCCACACAGAGTGCCTGGACGAGCTTCGGAAACACAACAGGTGAGTGAGGGATGTGAGCGAGGGTTTTCGTGGGGAGGTGTAACTCAAAATAGGATGGGAATGGAGGAAAAGGGGTGTGGGTGCCATCCTTGCTGTAAACCATCCTCGATGGAAGAATTGTTGAGATTGCTGAGTATTTGTGAAAACTTGTGTGTGTGTGTGCGTGTGTGTGTGTGCGCGCGTGCGTGTGCGCGCGCGTGTGTGTGTGCGTGTGTTTGTGTGTGTGTGTGTGTGTGTATGTGTGTGTGTGCATGCATGTGTGTGTGCAGGTATGCGTGCCCCATCTGTTGCAAGACCATGTTTGACATGTCCCGAGTGTGGGCGCAGCTGGATCAGGAGGTGAGCACAGCTGGATCAGGAGGTGAGCACAGCTGGATCAGGAGGTGAGCACAGCTGGATCAGGAGGTGAGCACAGCTGGATCAGGAGGTGAGCGCAGCTGGATCAGGAGGTGAGCACAGCTGGATCAGGAGGTGAGCACAGCTGGATCAGGAGGTGAGCACAGCTGGATCAGGAGGTGAGCACAGCTGGATCAGGAGGTGAGCACAGCTGGATCAGGAGGTGAGCACAGCTGGATCAGGAGGTGAGCACAGCTGGATCAGGAGGTGAGCACAGCTGGATCAGGAGGTGAGCACAGCTGGATCAGGAGGTGAGCACAGCTGGATCAGGAGGTGAGCACAGCTGGATCAGGAGGTGAGCACAGCTGGATCAGGAGGTGAGCGCAGGCAGAAAGACCATACTGTTCACATGAGAAATGTGATGTTGATTTCAGGCGTTGCAATCCGAGACAGGTTGTAAGCACAGGCAGAAGCAGGGGATGATATTGTCCAATTTAGATGCTACTGTTGATCTGTGAATGATGCTCCAATGTTGGCTTCAAGTATTTTTGGAAACTGCTCAGATTTTGTTTTTCCTGGCCTGCCTGTGTGTGATGCCTGCCATGGCAGGTTGCTGCAACACCCATGCCAGAAGCGTATCAAAACCAGATGGTAACTGTTTACACTCCCACATGCCTGTGCCTCATGCCATTTCGACACTCCGCTCCTCCAGTTCCCCATCTAATGTTCCACTTCTTATCTGTGTTCTTCAGATTCTGCCACTTCTTTCCTCCTCTTCCTTTCTCTTCGCTCCTATTTTTCCTTTGAAATTCTGAAGCATTTTAAACCGTCACCTGTTTGTTCCGTGTGACCACCTTTTTTCCCTGAACCTCTTCAGACGCCTATCCTGTGCAATGACTGTGGGGGCAGTGGTTCTGTGCCATTCCATGTGGTGGGGCACAAGTGCCCGCACTGCGGCTCCTACAACACCCGCCAAACACAGTAGCGCACTGTGCAGCACACCGGGCGGCGTGGCTTGGCGTTTAGGGCGGCGAGTGGAATGCTACAGCTGACATGGTGCTTTCTGCACCACCATGAAGTGCTGTAGTGCAGACACAGGGGCCATTGGGCAAGTGAGGGGGACTACTGCTAGCTGCACCACTCCAGCCACCACCCCAGCCACCATCACCTCAACCATTCCTTCAGCCACCCTCCCAGTTATCCCCCAGCCACCACCTCACCTTTTTCCGTAGCCACCCCCCTCATGCTAGCCACCCCCTTATACTAGCCACCCCTCTCATGCTAGCCACCATCCCAGCCACTGTCGCCCAGCCATCACCACAGCCCAAGCCATCAGCGCCACCACCATCCCTGTCACGATTCAATGCACTCATGTACAGGCATCATCATCTGAGCCAATCAGATCAGGCCTCAGCTGTACCTTATCTCACTAGAGCAGACTTCATTTGTATGATCACCGGCAGCATGGAGAACCTTCAGAGTCATGCTGACATTCTACCGTATTATACGAAAATTTGATATTTGAGTGTTGGAATATGGAAATGTTGCAGCTATGGCTGTGATGTTCGCAATGCAGGCGCGGGCATGCTTCTTGCTGACTTGTAAGCTGTTAATGAAACGATGAAGTTGCTGAGAGCTTTTAGGGTGTCCAAACAAGACCTTATTCTGGAGCCAATGATGAAGCGGGGCCAATGAAACCAATTTGCTCTGCTTTGCTATGATGCTCTTGCATCATAATTTTCACTACTGGGCAGTCGTCTGTAAGGAAAATTCCTTTTCCTTCGCGTCCTGCTCAGCGCGTACACCACTGTTCCCACCAACAACACCCAACAGTAATCCGTTACCACTCGCGACACTCGCCTCGACACTGTTCCCGCCACTATTCACGACGCAACCCAACCTCACGGTTCGGTTGGTTACCCGCGCTCCACACCTCCACCTCAACATTTCCCAACCCTTGGCACTAGGCCCGTCGTGTTATGAGTTGTAAAAGAGAGTGCGCGGAATAACGAATAACGAAGACGTGACTCAATGAACTGACAATACAATGAAGGCACGCGCTAATATAGTGGGTCAACCTAGCTAGGCGGCAGGGTTGACTTTATCAGACTAAAATAGTCTGATTGTCTGAAATCTCAGGGTATTTTCCTACGGATCCTGATTTTTCAGACTTGTAAGATTTTCAAACATGAGTGCCTCAGACTTACTTGGTTTTGGATCCTGAGATTTTCAGAGTACTGACTTAGCCGATAATGGGTCTTCATACTACAGGGAGTACGGATCCTGAAATGCGGATCTGTGATTTCTACGTACATTCCGCTACGTCATATGTTGCCAGTGTACGAACACACTTCATGGCGCTGTCACGCGCAGAATCTGTCCTTGGCAACTTTTGCCACCCTTTTCCCTTAGAAATCTGCCAACTTGGCTCACTCTTCCACTCACGCGGGACCATCACTGCAGCTACGTGGTGTCAGCGAGGGAAACTGGTTAGCGTTGCGCCCCACGTGCTACATTTGTGGCAGTACTGTACTGCAGTGGTTGTAGTGTGTTCTGAGTACTTCAGACTTGTGTTTTTGCGGAACCTGAAAAATCAGAGTGGCCATTCTCTGGGAAATATGCCTCAGACTAAAAATTTTCAGAGCCCCCAGAACATCAGACTGGATTTTTTTGAATAGTCAGCCCTGCTAGGCGGGAACCTCGGGAACACAAGGTTGGGTGCAGGTTGGGCAAAGGAAAGGCCGAAGGCGACGCGGGGTTGCTTCGGCAGCAAGCAAAGTGGCCGAACGTACACTTCCAAAAGTTGGGGTTGTACGCGGTTGAGTAAACCTCTATAAGGAAAATGGTTTTTCCTTACCCTACCCCCCCCTTTAAGAAAGGTGATCAACATCCGCAGCTCGCTTGCGGGCAAGGTAATCACCAAGAAGCGGAGAAGCTTCAAGCGAGGCGGATGGCACCCAAGTGTTGTCCTCACTGATGCGGTCAGTCCAGGGGATCAAAAATCCACTTGGCGTCCAGAAGCGTCGAGCCGAACACGATGCCCCAAAATCTTGGACGGGTCAAGTGTCGGTTCAAGGACAGGTCGGGCTGTCGGGGCGGCGTTCTGGCGCGCGATGTCTGTCGTGGCAGGCACGAACTTGCGAATGAGGCTGACATGGAAGGCGTCATGTATACGCCAATCGTCGGGTAGCAGCAGCTTCGCGGTGACAGGTGTCACCATCTTGATGATCTTGAACGGCCCGCAAAATCGTGGCCGGAGTTTGGATGGGCCGGGCAGGTGCAGGTTCTTCGTGTCAAGTAGCACTAATTGCCCAGCTGCCAAGACGAGTTCCCGTCGTAGCAGGTCGGTGTATTTACGGGAAGTGGTATTCGCCTTGCGAATTGCGTCCGCAGCCTTTTCGCGAACTTCGTGTAGTTCCGTCACAAATGTTTGTGACCGCGGGACCGGATTGTCAAGTGTAGTCGTTGTAGGAACCGTCGGGTCCATCCCGTAATTTATGAAAAACGGAGAGTGATTGGTCGTGCTAGACGGGGCGTTGTTGAACGCGAACTCCAACATGGCGAGCGAGTTTTCCCAGCGAGTGGGGTCGGAGCAGTTTGTCATGATCAGCTGCTCCATAGTCTGATTGGTGCGCTCGGTCTGGCCGTCCGTTTGCGGGTGGTATGCCGATGAGAACTGTAGCTTCGTGCCGTACTGTGCCCACGTCTCCTTCCAGAATTTCGATGTGAACTTCGGGTCCCTGTCGCTGATGATCGCTGCGGGGATTCCGTGCAGTCGCACGACAGTCGAGATGAAGAAGCGCGCAGTTTCTTCGGCTGTGATTGTTGTACGACACGGTGCGAAGTGCGCCATTTTCGTAAGGCGATCGACGACGACAAGAACAGCGTCGTTGCCGGACGGCCCGGCTGGCATCCCCGTGACGAAGTCCATCGTCACCTGTTGCCACGGTCGCTCGGGTGGCTCAAGGGGTTGCAGCAGTCCAGCTGGCCGCTGACGTGTCGATTTCATGGCTTGGCACACCCTGCATGAGGACACATATCGCTGCACGTCGTTAGCAGGATCAGGCCAATAATATTGACGGTGTAACAGCTTCTGGGTTTTATCAACCCCGAAATGTCCGGAGAGGTTAGAATCGTGGACCTCCTGAATAAGGAGTTCACGCAGTAGCCTGTAAGCAGGAACCCAAATCCGGTCAGTTCCGGCTTTTAGGTGATAATTCCCCTTCTGCGTCGTCGCCTGCTGGTGATTCCCAGTCGTGAAGAACGGGTCCGTAGTGTAGCCGTGGGTGAATAGTCCCGTAAGTAGCGGGTTCGAATGAGCGATGAGTACTGCAGCGGATTGAACTGTCGGCCGGGTAAGGGCGTCGGCGATGTTATTCGCCCCTTTCTTGTACGTGATGCGGTAGGTGAAATGACTCTCCATGTAGTCCAGCCACCGAATTTGTCGCGGGTTGAGGTTGGGCTGAGCTCGCAGGTACTGTAGGGACTTGTGGTCTGTGCGAACTGTGACGTCGGCGCCCACCAAGTAGCAGCGCCACAGTTTGAACGCGTGTATTATGGCGAGCATCTCCTTGTCATGTATCGGGTAGTTGTGCTCGGCTGCCTGCAGTTTGCGTGACTCGTAGGCGATCGGCTGCAGCCCGTTCCCGAAATCCTGGAGGAGTACAGCTCCGATGGCGAAATCTGAGGCGTCGGTGACAACTTCGAACGGCTTCGATGGGTCGGCGATGCGCAAAACTGGAGGGGAAACGAGAAATTTCTTCAACTCCTGAAAAGCCGCCTCAGCTTCCTCCCCCCACACAAAATTCATGTCCTTGTGCAGCAGGTCGGTCAGCGGGCCGGTTATCCCCGCCATATTCGGGATAAACCCCCTGACGTAGTTCACGAAGCCTAGAAAACTCTGAAGTTCCGTGATGTTAGTCGGGGACTTCCACTCATGAATAGTATTGATTTTCGCCGGGTCAATCTTGATGCCGTCGCGGGAAAAGACGTGCCCCAAAAACTCCAACTCCTGCTTAAAGAACTCGCACTTAGAGCCCTTGGTGATGAGGCGGTTCTCCTGCAACCGCTTAAACACTGCGTCGAGGTCTCGGAGGTGTTGTTCCCTTGTCCTGCTAAAAATCAGAATATCGTCCAAGTAGACGATCACACACTCGTCGAGAAATTCCCGGAAAATCCTGTTCTGTCATAATGTGATGTTTGTGTAGCCTGCAGTGGGGTACTCTATAGCGAATACAGCCCGGAATAGGGTTTGCTATATGTACTCAACTGCATGTCAGAGGTCCACTGGTGATCCCCGATTGATCCTAGGGAAGGGTTATAGGCACGTTGGCCTGGGGGGTTATGGGCGCACTTACCCGCTACACAAACAAGCCCTTTTATCCCAATGGTCTAGTGGTTGGGATTCTGACACTGCATGCTAGTGAAAATCCCCCCTTTCTCTGTTTCTCGATTTTTCCTAGGATTTCAACATGCTATCAGAGCAGGTCGACCCTCCTGGGTCGATCCTGTGGGTGGGCCCCACCCGATGCTTCCGCTGCTCTACTGCTTGTAGCGCGCCCCGGGCACGTGCTGTTTCCTGCCTGCCGCGCGCTACGGGCGCGCAGCGATTTTTCTTCCCGCCGCGCGCTCGGGGCGCGCGGCGGTTTTCT